AGGAGACACAGGAGGGGAACGAGGGGGAAAACGAGACGGAGACGAGTCCGGCGGAGGAAAGACAGGGCCGTAGACAGGTAGGGGAGGTGGCGGCAGGGGAGGCGTAGGCGGGCGGTCAGGGGAGGGAAGACCAAGGAGGCGAAGGGCGGACACCGGCTGCGACAGCTGTTGTTGCGCCACACCGACACCAGGACCTCCAACTGCACCACGGCTACCTCTAGAACACTCCACTCCAGCACCCCTAGAACAAGAACCCTCTCCAACATTGGTGCCACCCTTGAGATGAGTGGGACAAGCCTTGACAGTAACCCCAGGACTAGCACCCTCCTCAACGCCAGCACCCCTAGAACGCGCGGACCCCTAAGGGGGGGGCGGTTGCGGCGGCGCCTGCTGCTGCTGCTACGACGGCGATGGCGACTGCTGCTGCAGCAGCGACGGTGACAAGTGCTGCGGCCGCGGCGGCAGAGGAGGAGACATCAGGGCGGAGGCAGGCGGCGAAACCAAAGCTGTGGGGCCCTTGGAGTTAGCCGACTCCTCCACCGAGACCACCGACGTGAGGGGAGTGATGTGAGACACACCAGACGAGGCAGGATGGGAAGGGAGAGGAGTAGAGGCTACCGGGGGAGAGGGAACCAGAAATAGAGGCCGGGAACCGGGAGACGTCAGTGGGGAAAGCGGTGGTAGAAGGAGACAGACTCGTCAAAAGTCACGTCACGCGAGTGAAAGAAGCGGTGAGACGGCGGGTGGTAAAAGTGCTAGTCAAACACGTCAAGGGGGAAACCAAGGAAGACACAGGGGACAGTGCGGGCTATGAGCTTCTCCGTGCCAGAAGCACGGACGTGACCGAGGCAGCCCCAGACGTGGAACGCAGATGTGTCACCAGGGAACCCGGTCCAGAGGAGGGTCGGCGAAACCTGCAGCCCCTGGGAGTGCGGCCACTGTTTAAGCTGGTGAGTGGCGTAGCAAAGAGCGAACGACCACAAAAAACGGGGTGCACCGGCATGGATCATGGAGGTACGAGCCACCTCCATGACGAAATCAATGCGTCACTCAGTGAACCCATTCTGCTGTGGGGAGTCTGGCAGGGTGTACGACTGGGTGATACCCTCCGCACGATAGAACTGGCCAAGCCGACTGGAGGCAAAATCGCCGCCACGGTCGGAGTGGAGATGCAGCACAGGGAGGCCGCGGTGGACTCGTGCAACTACGACCCACGAGATAAGAGCGTCAGGCACGTCGGCCTTCTGCTCCAGGGAAAACACCGTGATGTAGCGCGTGTAGTCATCGACAAGCACTAGGAGGTAGCGCTCTCGACACGGCCCAGGGACGGGGGCTGGGCCCTTTACGTCCAGGTGCAGGGTCTGGAGTGGCGCAGTGGTAGGGCGAAGCAAGGAAGAGTGACGAGCACGGCGCACCCGGCCCTCGAGGCAAGGCGTGCATGGCGGCGCAGGCAAGAGAGGAAGGGTAGGGAGCTACTTAGGGAGACCAAAGACAAGACCGTGATGAAACATGTGACGCAGACGCGGGAGTGCGGGATGACCTAGGCGGTGGTGTCACGGAAGCGACGGGTGAGTGAGCGACCGATACGAGCAAGCCGCAGCGATCTGGGTCGCCGCAGGCACCTAGGGGGACGCCTCTACTAGGGGGGAAGCAGTGTCAAGTGTAAACAGGCCAGACACAGGGTCCCGGGGGAACGTGTTCAGAGGGGCACCAGTGGCGGCCCCGGTACAGACCGTGGGGATGTTTAGGCCTGTAAGAGAGCCCAAGGGGACCGCCGGACAGTGAAGGGTAGTGGAACTACGGGCAACTACCAGACCTGAGGAGGGGTCAGCAAGCACTATAGCGGCGGGGGTAGCAAGCGGCGTGAGCGCAGTGTGGTCGCGAAAGAAGCAGGAGGACTGGCCAGAGTTACTGTAAGCATAAAGGAGAGCAGGCAGTAGCGCCAGCCGGCGGAGGGGCTAGCGTGGAACCTAGGCTAAACAAGGCAGGGTGTCCTATGCCTGACACAACAAGGGAGCCTAGACTATACTCAGGGGACACACCTTCTCTAGGCAATACCAGGTAATAAGGTCCAATCATACTAGAGTCATTAGCATACATGACAGACATAGCATTCCTTATTTGATCCATGTCAAGCTCAAAGACAGGCACACGTCACGAGCCAGGGCGTACCAGTCAGGAGGGTCTGACGCGAGACCGAAGCGGTGGCGGAACAGGTCGTCCAGGTGGCGGTAACAGCGGGCAGCGGTGTGGCTGGAACGGTCGTAGACGGTGCCGCGGCGGGGGCCGGTCTGAAGCTGGTACTGACAGGTGACCGCGCTGGAGTTGCCACCCGACACCTAGCTGCGCCCCCCACCACCATGACCACCGCCACCAGTGCCCCCAGTCCACCATGGCGGCGAGGGTCCCCACGACAACTACTACTGTAGCGGCGACTTCTGCAGCAGCTGCTGCTGCTGCTGCTGCTAAGTCTGCTGTGGCTGTTGCTGCTGAGGCTGCGGCTGCTACTGCTGCTGCAGGGCACCAACCCCTGTCCCCTCATCCGAACCACCGTCCCCCCCCCTACCTCCTCCACCCTCCCCACACCCACCCCCCTTCCCTCCGCCAAGGCCCCCCTTGGGGCGGCGGCCCCTACCCGGGCGTGGCTGCGCTAAGGCCGCAGTGGCGGTCTCAGCAACAGTGGCAGAGACGTCAGAGTAAGAGCACTGAGAGGGAGCACAACCCTGAAAGATAGGGACCAGTGCAGTACCGATAGACTGAGCGATGTGCTGGTGGGTCTCTATCGCAGACAGAACGGTGATAAAGGCGAAGAGGGTGAGGTCACCTGGGAGCTGACTAAGGAAGTGGTCGCGGGAAGTGGCTAGGCGGTCGGGGAGGCGCGTGGCAATGAGGTAAAGGGTAGCGCAGAGCGGCGGCAGAAAGGCAGTGATCTGAGTCTCAGTGCTAGCAGTGCGGTTGCTAGTCTCAAGTGCGCGAAGGTGAGTGGCAAGATCGGCGATAGTGGGGAAGGACGCAAGATCAGGGAACAGCATGGGAAGGATCAGGCGGCCAGCAGAGTTTGAGGCGGGGGTGGAATAGCGCGCGATGACTGCATCTAAGAATTCCAGGGCGTTCGCTACAGTGGTAGAGCAAGGACGTTGAGACAGGGGGAGGGCGTGACTAATAGCAAGTTGCGCAATGGTGACGCGTGACTCCCAGACAGCGCGAGCAAGCACAGCAGCGGAAAAGCCTCACGCTCAGCAGTGGTGGGGGCGTCAGGGAAGGCAACATGCGCAGCGGGGCGGGGAAGCAGGCCATCGACATGAACAGCCAGGGAGTGACCGTCTTGGCGTTGACCTGTAAGGTGACGACGAAGGTCAACGAGCCACACCTCAAAGTCGGTCTGAAGCCCCTCTGCGTCCCTCTGCGTCCAAGCGGAGCATAGGGTCCGCCATCCCACGAGTTCAGCTATACGGCGGTACGACGGCACGACGACACGGCGATACGGCGGCACGGTGACACAGCGGTACGGCAGAAAGGCGGCACTGCGGCACGATGGCACTGTTGAAAATAGCCCTGATCTTGCGAAGGTTGCAAAAGTCTGCGGAAATGGCATATCAACGAAGTCTGCGGACACGAGCCCTGCAGAATGGCCCATCGACGAAGAGCAGATTTGTGGACAAGGCGAGGCTCTGCGGGAAGTGGCAGAGGAGCAGTTTTCGTTGGTGGCAGAAAAGCGGTTCTGTCAGAGTGGCAGAACAGGAGCGTTTTTTATGTAGATGAATTTTAGAGACTTCTGTGCTTTTGTAGAAGCGGTGTTGGCAGAAAAGAGAGTGTAAAAGACCATCTGCCGATTTGGCGCCAAGGAGGCATTCGCAGAAGGGTTGTCCTCTGCAGAAGTATCGTGTCGAAGACATTTCTGCGGGCGACCCTTTCGGCAGAAGCGACTCTGCAGAAATGCATTCCAAAAGGACTTCGGGCAGAGTGGCGCAAGAACCTGCTCGCACAGAAAAACGAAAAACGCACGAGTCAAAAGAAAAACGCACGAGTCATGGAACGAGAGGATCACATGCACGTGGCGCAAGATGGCATTGATCGGAACTACATGGTAGCCCTCATCGTCCTCCCGCCAGCGAAGGCGCTTGCAGCGCGTCGCATCGTCCAACCCTCCAGCGAGCCACAAGCGGACAAATGCCAGATCCTCCCTTTCTCCCCTACGCTTGAGATGGAAGAGAAGGAACAGCCTGCCATACACCTCCTCTCCATCAAGCAGCAGCGCCACGTCCGAATACCAACGCTTCTTGTGGCACTCCGGGGTTGCCCTGACGTAATGCGCCACTCGAGCACCATGCTCCTTGACGGATGCCGGTACAGCCAATGACGTGTGAGCCTGCATGGAGGTGTGTATGGGCAGCTGTAAATTTCCTATATTGCTTGCGGTGTCCAGCGAGATTACGACGTGAAAGAAAGGAACTTACTCGCACTTTGGTGGCGCTCACTCCATAGCGCTCCAAAGCACCCCCAAATGCCTTGTGCGCTTGAGGGTGTTGCTGAGCCCACTTCTCAAAGAACCAGTTCTTCTTGACCGGCTCAGTAGGAGGTGTAACCAGAATGGTGTATGCCTCCTTGGTGAGGACTCGCTCCCCTGTGTCCATGGACTGCGCGAGCGCACGATGGTTGTTAAGCTCATGTGTTAGTTTGTTGCAAACTTTTTCTTATGGTTTGTACCTTTTGCATGCATGTGTCCCGAATGCCCTCCTCGTTGTCGAGCGTCAGGTACGCAGCCCGCCTCTCATGATGCTTCATGATCTGCGCATCGACATTCCTCTTGTTTGAGCGGCGGTAGATGCGCTTAAGGAGCGGGCCGTGGAGGTGCTCGAACATGTTGGTCGAGTACTCGGATTCGTGACCCGCTCGGCGAATCGCGTCGGGGTAGTGCGACATCAAGTGTGTCTTGATGATGCACCACGACGATCTCTGCGAGGGGAATGCTTTCTGCAGCTTGGTGACCAACCTGGTGTTAGGGATTTCACATGTGATTATGACATAAAGATTGGTCCTACCTAGCAGGTGTTGAAACATAGAAAGTGTTCAACATTCACCAGAGTTTCAATCACGTCTAACGCACGGCAAATATGCTCCTTAACAGTTCACATCCAGAAATACCTGAGGGTCAACCCCTCAAGCTGCAGCAGAGAGCCCTCTGTGTGCCCTGGCACACGGCAGCAAAGGAGGTACCACTCCAGGTACAGCCGGAGTGCCTCCATCTCATCCGGCGTCAGCTTGTCCGCCACGATGAAGACGAGGACCTGGAGTTGGGAGTTTCGAGTAGGCAGCACAAGTGGGTACCGACGACAAATGAGATGGGCACAGCAAGCGCATGGGTATGCGCCCAAGCGTGGTGTGGACGGCCGGATGATGTGAAGAAATGGAGGGCATCATAGGTGCAGCAAATGCGTGTGGTTGCTGAGGTGGAAATACCATGGGCAGCGTGTGCGCAACAGAGGAGGGAGGGACAGTTGCACCGAGGGCATTGAGGGAGGTAAAAAAGTCAGAGGGAGATGGGGCATGGCTGTGGGAAACACAGAGGGAGATGGGCCATGGCAGTGGGAAAAACTGAGGGAGATGGGGCATAGCTGTGGAAAACACAGAGGGAGATGAGGCATGGCTGTGGAAAACACAGAGGGAGATGGGGCATGGCTGTGGGAAACACAGAGGGAGATGGGGCATGGCAGTGGGAAAAACAGAGGGAGATGGGGCATGGCTGTGGGAAACACAGAGGGAGATGGGGCATGGCTGTGGGAAACACAGAGGGAGATGGAGTATGGCGGTGGGAAACACGGAGGGAGATGGGGCAAGGCAGTGGGAAACACAGAGGGAGATGGAGTATGGTGGTGGGAAACACGGAGGGAGATGGGGCAAGGCAGTGGGAAACACAGATGGAGATGGAGTATGGCGGTGGGAAAAACAGAGGGAGATGGGGCATGGCTATGGGAAACACAGAGGGAGATGGGGCATGGCGGTGGGAAAAACAGAGGGAGATGGGGCATGGCTGTGGGAAACACAGAGGGAGATGGAGTATGGCGGTGGGAAACACGGAGGGAGATGGGGCAAGGCAGTGGGAAACACAGATGGAGATGGAGTATGGCGGTGGGAAAAACAGAGGGAGATGGGGCATGGCTGTGGGAAACACAGAGGGAGATGGGGCATGGCTGTGGAAAACACAGAGGGAGATGGGGCATGGCTGTGGGACACACAGCGTGTGTACCTGGAGCACGGCGCGGTGCTTGAATGCCGCCAGGTTGGCACCGGTGGCGAAGTACGTCGTCTCCGGGAAGCGGAGGTGGGTGATCCGCGTGTGATCCCGGACGTACGAGAGGCGCCTGGGGGTGGGCATGGGTAGCAAGGGACGACCCGCATCTGAGTGTGTGCAATATCTCGAATCGGGAGACAAGGGCAAAGGGTGGGGTCATGCATACCCGTCAAAAACCCCCAGCTCCCTGGGGAGCTTGGTGCGGATGGCAGCCAGGATGTGGTGCAGGATCCCAAGGTCCGCCTGGTGCATGATGTCTGGCATGATGGCCAGGTAGGGGTTGCTCCAGGGGGCACGCGGGATCTCCCACTTCCAGAGCACGCTCTGCAAAGGCACACCCGGGAATGAGGCGACATAACATGTTGTTGGAGGTCAGGGAAACATGGACTGTGGGGGTGGGGAGCACAAGGCAGGTCGAAAGGGTGTTGGGGGGGACCACGTCGCGCATGGAGTATACCTCGGAGGGGAAGGTGGAGAAGAATGATCCCACGGTCTTCTCCGGATTCGGGGAGAGAGCACGGTGGTTCGCCACAATCCAGCGCTGGTCGGACACCGTGCGGGTGACGTTGGGCGACTGGACCGCCCACAGGTGGTCCTGCACGTGGCAGTGGGACCAGCGTTGCACGGAGCAGGGTTTCGGAGAGAACAGAGGTGACATCGAAATCAGCTAGCCAGGGTGGAGAGTGCGGGGGGGGGATGGAACTGGGTGGGCTTACCTTCTGCGCATAGCAGATGCTGCAGGGTCTCTCCGTCCCGCCCGACAGTGTACCGCTGATCTTCCCGCTCTCAGGATAGTCGCACGCCCACGCATAGAGCCTCGGCTTCACCACCCGCTCCACCCCGTTAGGGTCCTTCAGCAAGAAACCCCTGCCGGAGCCAAGGAGGGGCGAGCAAGGAGAGGGGAAATGCGGAGGTGCGGGCAGGGTAGACAAGGGCATGCAAGGGAGGCATGAGCAGGGAATGCAACGGCTGGTGAAGGCATGGCAGGGATAGTTAAGGCAGGAAAACCCAGGGCAGGGAAATCCAAGGCAGGGAAATCCTATGCAGGGATAGCAAAGGCAGGGATAGCCAAGGCAGGAATAGCCAAGGCTGGGATAGCCAAGGCTGGGATAGCCAAGGCTGGGATAGCCAAGGCTGGGATAGCCTTGGCAGGGATAGCTAAAGCATGGATAGCCAAGGCAGGGATAGCCAAGGCAGGGATAGCCAAGGCAGGGATAGCCAAGGCAGGGATAGCCAAGGCAGGGATAGCCAAGGCAGGGAAATCCAAGGCAGGAAAATTCAAGGCAGGGAAGTACAAGGCAGGGAAAGCGAGGGCTGGGGAAGCCAAGGCATGGAAAGCCAATGCTGGGAAAGGACGCGTGCGGATGGCCAAGAATGCGGACAGGGGCGGATGCGTCGGTGGGAAAGATCGTTCTCACCTCTCCATTCCGGCGAACAGGGGCTCTAGCGCGGTCACCGCGAATCGATCCCACAGCTCGGTCTTCTGCGCCGATGGCATTGAGCGGGGCGGGATGGGGAACGTGCCAAGCAGGCAGTGGCCGGATGTGGCCCATCGCTTCGTCTGTGAGACGTTAGCAAGGGTCATCATCAGCGGGTGGGCCTTCTTCCGGCCGTTCTCGCTCAGATGAGTGACGTCGCTGTAGAGGTTGACCGCCCCAACGAACGCATCCTCACCGATCTCGGCCTGCCACGATTACACGCGCAACAACGTAGGAAAATGGGGCAGGGAGGATAGGATTGCATGGTGCAGCTGCCTAATATTTGCCGTCAAATGAATGGCATGGGTCCAACGCATGGGACGGTTCACGCATTAGCAGGTGCGGGCATACCTGAGCGTCGTGCCACCATGTGCCCGTGTCTGGGGTGGAAAACTGCCGCTGTCCAGTGGCAGGGTCGCTGTCAATCCGTGGCCGAAGCATGAAGCCCTCCGCATTGTTCGGATTGCCGTAGATGTCAGCAAACGCCTGCGAGAGGAGGCACACGAGGCATACAAGCCAGAGTTAGGTCATGGCAAGCCTACGTATTAGGGGCAAAGGAGGCTTGACAGTGTTGAGGGGCTGGAAATACGCACCTAGTCACTCACTTGCGAGGCGTCGCGGAGGTGCATGGTCTGCGGCGGCTGGCCCTCGACCTGGAAAGTGACAGTGGACCATCCGCGCCCGAGGCCATCGAGTTGCTCCAGCTCGAATGCTTCCATCTCGCGGACATTGGTGTACTCAGAGAGCACACGCTGGGCCATCTCGGGGTGCATGAACAACTGCAGCAGCCGGTTGACATCAGCGTTGGCCATGCCAATGCGCCCGTTCACCTCCCGCACGAAGTGCAAAAAACGCAGCGCCGCGACGTTCAGCACTGGAGGCTGATCGGCCGTGGCCTGCAGCGGACGTGGAGCGTCTTCGAAGTCCCTGCGGACCTGCTCCTCTGCCCAGAAGCGTTCCTCCTCATCATTCTCCTCGCGGCTGGTGGCAGAGTCGCTTACGGTGGACGAAGTTTCGTCACCGTCGTCCGAATATGAGTCGGACTCAAGGTCTGGCATGTCGTCGTCCTCCTCGTCGACGGGACGTGCGTCGCGGATTGCATCTAATCCAAGGAATGGGTTATGCTCAGCGCCGCGCGCTGCCCGGGCCTGATTAGACCGGATGCCCCGGCGGCACAGGGGGTGGGAACCCCTGTGCTGGCCAAACGCCTGGGCATTGCGAAACGAACGATCGCAGAACTCGCAAGTGACTGGAGTAGATGACCTCATGCTGGGCATCCAGGTCCTAGAGAGCCATTGTCTAGACCGATAACGTGGGTAGCACGTTTCAGAATATATACTAGGTCTAGCACGGATACACTAGGGCGCGTGAGCCTAGGCACGTTCCGTGTCGCCCACAGCGCTCCACGGTGGTCACTCTTAAGTGGTGTCGCACAGCTAGATACGTGGAGGCAATTCGACTAGGGGAATGAGCTGCGCGTGATTCGGGGATCACTCCAACGTGGTGTCGCACATCCAGGTTGGTTTGAATGTCTATGACTAGCCAGAGTCGAGCAGCGCGCTTCTCGGTGGTCACACCTGTGTGGTGCCGCGCAGCTTAGTGCGTGGTGGCTGTTAGACTAGCGGGGAAAAATTGCCCTAGCCTCTGCACAACAGCTGAGGAGTGACGCACAAAACAGATCTGTGGTTGTGGCAGGATTTCCGCTTCCAACCGATGCGCTGGCGCAATCGGACACGAGTATGGTTCGGGCGTGGGACATCGGGTCCGTTTCGCCCTGGTCAAGAATGATTGGGTGGTTTAGAGGCGGTTTTGATGTGGTAACGATTGTTGAATACGTGGTTGGACGCGGTACCTACCCAGCTTCGGAACGTGATATTGCCAACTGGACCTGTTGTCCCATACCCTTAGAGCGTGTTCAGAAAGCTCCGATGTCAGTAGTATATTGACGCCGACATCGGGGTCGGGGTACTCTGAACGAGCTTTTCGCGTTTCCAATTGAGACACGAGTGTTGAGCCTGCTGATGTTGCGTTGTACAGCAATGTAGGATCGTCGTAACTGTTAAACATAATACAGTGCTCCAACTAGTAAGTGGAAAGGTATGAAATAGATACGTGGCAATCCGACCCATGCAATTCTATGCTCACACATTCGATTGGACCACAAATGATAGTGCTGTTGCATCTGCCCTATGTGGAAGGCTTCTCTACCACATTCCAACATTACGCTTTCCTAGGGTAATGGAGTGGCGTACAGTTCTCACTTTATCCTCATGACCTATTCCGATTGAAGTGGATGTCTATGCTTGCGCTGTAAATCGTGCACATGTATATGTTCAAAGTTTACAGCAATGCGCAAGTGCGCGCGGCAGGTTCTCTCGCTTCATATGGGCTAGAGGGTGGCTGAGACCAGATGGAGCAGCAATGCAACACTGGCCGCTGCGTCTCGGCAGTATACCGAGCTTGGGTTGCACGACGATTTGTTACGCCAGGTTAGGAGTGCCCTGGGCAGTGCACTGCACAAGACGTGACTGCTGGCCAAGTTTCACACCCTGTGTTGCACGTGCTTGGGAGACACGGCAGTTCGCGTATCTTGGTCGCTCGTTTCGTGCAGATAGAGAGAGGTCGATTGAAGAACGCTGCGGATTCGACGTCCCCGCGAGTTTTGATGCCGGGTTTGGAGTGGCCTGGGCGAAGCACACAACAAGAGGGTATTTATGGCCAATTCTCAGACCTTGCGCAGCACGTGCGTGAGCGTGACGGATGTCTCTGTGTCTTGGTCGCTCCTTTCGTCCAAGGAGAGAGGTCGATGGAAGAACGTTGCGAATTCGACGTCCCCGCGAATTTTGATGCCGGGTTTGGAGTGGCCTGGGCGAAGCACACTACAAGAGGGTATTGCTCGCCAATTTTCAACCTGCGCAGCACGTGCGTGAGCGTGACGGATGTCTGTGTCTGGTTGCTCCTTTCGTCCAAGGAGAGAGGTCGATGGAAGAACGTTGCGAATTGACGTCCCCGCGAAATTTTATGCGGGGTTTGGAGTGGCCTTGGCGAAGCACACTACAAGAGGGTATTGCTCGCCAATTTTCAGACCTGAGCAGCACGTGCGTGAGCGTGACGGATGTCTCTGTGTCTTGGCCGCTCCTTTCGTGCAAGGAGAGAGATTGATCGAAGAACGCTGCGAATTCGACGTCCCCACGAATTTTGATGCTGGGTTTGGAGTGGCCTAGGCGAATCACATTACAAGAGGGTATTGCTCGCCAATTTTCACACCCTGAGCAACACGTGCGTGAGCGTGACGGCTGTTTTCGTGTGTTAGTCGCTTGTTTCGTGCACGGACCGAGCGCATTTTATGAACGACGCGAATTCGATGTCCTGGTGGAATTTGGATCCTGGGTTTGGAGTGGCCTGAGCAAAGCACACCAAAACAACATATTGATGGCTAAGTTTCACATCGAGGGGTGCACGTGCATGAGCGTGACGGCTGTTTCCGTGTCTTAGTCGCCTGTTTAAGGCAAGGCATGGAGAGCACTTCAGGTTCGCTGCGAGATCGTCATCTTGATGATGCCAACTCATCTTTGCAAAGCATATGGACACCGCGTGTGCTGTGTTATGGCTCATGAACGCAATTTAATAGGGGATTGCTGGCCAATCCGCACAGACCGGGTCCTTATGGCGTACGACATCCTGCGCGAGTGGCTGGGGGGCTTGGCCTGGAGGTGCATTTACAAAAGTGTTGCCTTCTGGAGCGTGGGGTGGTGGACGGGGGCGGGGGCGGGGGTGTGACTGGGGGCGGCGACGAGGGCACGGTTGCGGATGAGGAGGGAACGCGGGCCGGCGCGAGGCTGGGGATGGGCATGTGGGCGTGGGCGCAGGCGCGTATGGACCCTGAGCTCGCGAGCGGGAGAAGTCCAAGACGGCAGACTATAAGGCATTGGTGCAGCGGCATCGGTGTGTGCAGTTTACTCCACACCGGGTGGCGAGGAGCAAGGGGGCGGGTGTTGGGAATGAGAAGTCTTTTGCAGCTTACTTGGTGGGGTCTCTATTTAGGATGCTATCGGCATGGCACTGCAGCGGGCCAAGGCACGGGTCATCTTGTTGCGTGCTGCTTCTATGATGGGTGGGCCTGACATTATGCGGGCGGATCAGGGGTTGGCGAGCGGAGGACGGGTGGGGGCCCGCGGGGGATGAACACTACCTGGTGGACCTGCACACTAACATGCAGTGCTAGTATTCATAGTATGTTGTCTAAGCATGTACAATAAATTACATTCCAGTGTACGCAAATTTGGGATACAACCATGTTCAAGCTTAATGCCCGGGCAAGAGCTCAATGCACTACAGTACAATAGGACGGGCTGTTCGTTGGCATCGACTACAGTGTAATGGTGGTGGTCTCAGCCAGGCTGGCGGACACTTGCGATTAGCGACAACTAGAAGTGCTGCTCACCGTTAGTTTAGAACCAATGGCTGGAAAGGTCTTTCCTGCGTTGTTGATGTCGCCATATTTTCCAATTGCGGAACACGCGTGAAAGAGTTCTGCCCAGGCAGTGCTGTACTGTTTTTTTAATCCAGGTTGTCGGGTGACTCTGCGTTGCACATGTCGGGGGGCAATTTCGACTGCCCATTCTCAAGTTCGCGTGCGAGTGTGCATTCTCATCGTTTAGCGGGCCTATCGTGTCAGTCGCCCGTTACCCAACCGCCCTTGATCGCAACGCCACGCCAGACCCTGTTCTGAAACCCTAAAAGAAAATATGCAACTATCCAACGCCCTGAAACACAGCCAGCGCGACCCCGACCGCGTGTGTGTGCGTTGCGGTTTTGGGGGGCTTCCCAAAACCAGTCTCACCAGTACTGTACACCAGCCCGAACCGAACCCTGCACTGCTGTCTTGGTGTGTGCGGTGTCTGTTAACTGTGTTAGGACCAATGTGAGAGAGAGCTGAACCAGCACTGCTTAGATCGATCCACACAATTACAGCTTCTTCGTCCATCGAGGCAGTGGGAGGATAGACTAGACTCCTTCCTTCCTCCCTCTCCCACTCCATCCGTCACCCTGATAGCTCCCTAGTCATTCAACGGCAGTCCCTCACCCATCTCACGTTTTCCCGCCTTCGCTCGTCTCACGGTGGCCCACCCGATCGCCCTTTTCCTGCTGTCTGTCGTAACGGATCCCCACGTTCCCCTGGCTGCACTCCCTTGGAGCACGCCAAGCCAGTAGCAGCGGCGCTCAAGGCGAGAGTGTCATAGTGCCAGGTCTCCCGCGTGCGTCTTGCCCTTGTGCACCGGCAATGAAAGGCGGCACCGTACCCAGACTTGTTTCACACCCACGATAGACGGCCATTCAAGGGCACGCATAGGCAGCGGCACGCGCGACGCACAGTGTGTGCTGAAAGGCCGCCTCGACACGTGTGGTGGCGAGCGAGTGGCGACCAGGACACGGAAGGCCGTGCGACGTGCCCGCACTCATTTGACGGGCGATGCGACGCCACCTTTGCGCGGCTCCGAGATCTATCCCCGCCACACCCCGTTAGCGCCGCTGCAGGGCGAACGCATCTCCAGCGCCACGCATATCTCAAGCCGTGCATCGCCAGCGCCACGCATCGCCATCGCCACGCATCACCAGCGGCACGCCAGCAGCCAACGGCACGCATCGCCAGCGGCACGCATCGCCATAGGCACGCATCGCCAGCACCACTCGTCAGACTGCGCGGCACGTCTGACGCAGACATGGCGACACCATCCTCGGTTCGCTCCTCGTCGTGGCTCCTATCCCTACCCCCTTCCACACTCCCCTCGTCCTCCCTCGGCAAGACAAGGCCGTCGTGGCCCGTGTCGCCGCGAGCGATCGGCCCAGGAGGCGGGTGTGGAGCTGGCCTGGCCGTACATATGCAGCTTCCCTCCTTTGGATGCTAACACCAGTCCCTGCATTAGCTACCAACGACGTCATGGGGCACAAGCACAAGCGTCGGGGTGATAAGGCGGAGGGCACGCGCAAGCACAAGCGTACGCATGCTGATGCGCGACCGATGCAAGCGCTGCCAAGCCATCGTGAGGGGCAGCCACTCCAGCAGCATTCACTCCAGCAGCAGCCATTCGAGCAGCAGCCACTCCAGCAGCACCTTCTCCAGCAGCTGCTTCTCCAGAAGCAGCCTCTGCAGCAGCAGCCTCTCCAGCAGCAGCCTCTGCACCAACAGCCTCTGCAGCAGCAGCCTCTGGAGCAGCAGCCTCTGCAGCAGCAGCCTCTGGAGCAGCAGCCTCTGGAGCAGCAGCCTCTGCAGCAGCAGCCTCTCCAGCAGCAGCCTTTGCAGCAGCAGCCTCTCCAGCAGCAGCCTCTGCAGCAGCAGCCTCTCCAGCAGCAACCTTTGCAGCTGCAGCCTCTCCCGGTGCAGCCACAGCTTCAGAGCCAACTGCCACGTCACCACGGGGGCAGCGGCGTCCGTGCTGCAGAGGCCATCACCGACGCTCCATGTGCAGCGGCCGGTGAGGGGGGAGAAGACGAGGAGGGGGAAGGTGACAGCAACAGTAGCGAGAGCGAGTCCGGCGAAGAGGGCGACCAGAGGCACGCCCAGTCTGGCTCCGGCACGGATACCAGCTCCTCAGACTCATCTTCGGATTCTGAGTCTGCCGACGAAGCTAGCTCGGAGGGCGAGGCGGAGCAGTCTGCTTGCATGGGGCAGGCTGCGGTGGCCGAGACGGCGGCGGGCAAGAACGACGTTACTTTTGATAAGCTCTTCGCCTCCCCAGCTGAGGCGGCAGTGGCCGCTGTGGGGCAGAGCGATGGGTATGACATGGACGACGAGGACCAGCGTGCCATGAACAGGGGTCGCTACATGAAAATTGGAGCGGCGGGCGGTGCAGCTGGGGAGGGTGGGAAGATGAAGACGCGGAACGGCGGGCAACGGCAGAAGGCAGCCGGAGAGGCGGGCGACGTTAGGCAGGAACGGTCGGGCGCGGACGCGGCAGGGCGGGCTCGCCCACACCGTCTGGTCGCCGTCTCCAAGAAGCGACTGGGAAGGCAAAGGGCTCCCGAGGTGAAGGCACGCCAGCGTCAGTTTGGGTGTCATCGTCTGTCTGGCTCGTGACGTTGTTACGTACACTTCATTGCCTGTTCTGTCCCTTGCTCTATGCCATACAGGCTTCTGCTATGCTAGAGCGTTGGCAGTGTTCATCGTGGTGCGCGGACTCATCACACTGCATTACAAACTCGCGGCACCAGAAATTGGTCCCTGTACCCTATGCATCCCCACCCCACTTCCCCCGTGCAGGTGCAGGTAACCCCAAGAGCGGGGGAGTGGCAGAGCGGGGGGTAGGTTGTTATAATTTAATATAGGCTTGGCAGGTTGTTATAACCTTTTCTCTCTCAACCCGAGCTACCACTGAAATCCTCCCAACCCCGCTTCCTCTCGTCTCCTACCCCAAGAGCGGGGGAGTGGCAGAGCCGGGTAATTATAAATTTAATATAGCCCGGGTTGTTACCCTCTACAGAAAAGGTTCAGTAACAACCTACCAAGCCTATATTAAATTATAACTTATATAATTTGAACACCCCCCTGTTTCCTTGACATGACTGTTGCAATGCTATCAACCCGGCCCATCGTGCAGGGAAGACCAAGCAGAAGAGAGCACCGGAGATGCAGGGTACGTGCACCGTTGACCGTTGCTGCTGTCAGACACCATGCAACTACAGCGCCCCTGCCCTTGCCCTCGCCCTGACGTGTGCAATGCATCTGCCCTGGTTTCCTTGTCACGTACGCTTGTGGTATGCACTGGCATGCCAGTGCATTATGTATCCCTATTATGCGCCTGTTGACAGTCTGACATTCACGTGCACCCTTTTGCCACAACTGCACACCATGGTACACCCTACCCTTTGTGTACAGCCCCCCCCAGTCTGGCCTCGGTCCGCCGGTGGTGCAGCAGTTTCAGCTAGGCACAAGACGCATGGCGCCGACAGGTGGAGCCACCCTAACCTCGACCCTGCGCTACAATGACGCTGCCCCCAACACCGCCGCAGTGGTCCTCCCATCTTCCAGCGCTGGGCCACGCGCGCTACGTGCCGTCCATGAGAAGGCGTCGAAGAAGAAGTACGTCTCTAGGGCTGAGCTGGACCGTATGAAGACCGCGCTGCTGGCCACTGTCACGGCCTTCATCGACGGGCAGCGGGCGATGTACGCAGCTGGTCGGGTGGCGAATGGGAATGGCCCGGCGTCCACTGGACAGGGAAGCCAGGAGGAGCCGAGTCCAGCCACGTTGGCTCGCCGTGAGGTTCTCCTGGCGGCGGAGGACTTCAAGGTGAGCAGGATATGGGCTGGCAGGTGCGTGGCTTGGGTGGGTGCTCGGGTAGGACCCGGGCCTGGGACGGTTCTGTCAGAAGCCGATCGCGGTACGGTATTGGCCAGGGTAGCAGTGGCGGCATGCGTGTAACAGTGCTGTCGGTTGATAGCAGTGCTAGTGTCGGTACATTTGCTTGGCTTGGTAGCACCGCTTGGCTTGTTAGTAGTGTCTAGGCTTGGTAGCAATGCTTGTCTTGGCAGCACTGCCTGACTTGGCAGCAGTGCGTGGCTTGGTGGCACTGCTTGGCATGGTAAGAGTGCATGGCTTGGCAAGAGTGCATGGCTTGGCAAGAGTGCATGGCTTGGCAAGAGTGCATGGCTTGGCAAGAGTGCATGGCTGGGCAAGAGTGCATGGCTGGGCAAGAGTGCATGGCTTGGCAAGAGTGCATGGCTTGGCAAGAGTGCATGGCTTGGCAAGAGTGCATGGCTTGGCAAGAGTGCATGGCTTGGCAAGAGTGCATGGCTTGGCAAGAGTGCATGGCTTGGAAGCAGGGCGTGGCTTGGCAGCAGTGCGTAGCTAGGCAGCAGTGCGTAGCCTGGCAGCAGTGCCTAGCTTGGCAGCAGTACCAAGCAGTGCATGGCTTGGTAGCAGTGCATGGCTTGGCAGCAGTGCATGGCTTGGCAGCAGTGTGTGGCTTGGCAGCCGTGCGTGGCTGGGCAGCAGTGTGTAGCTGGGCAGCAGAGCGGGCTTGGCAGCAGTGCCTAGCTAGGCAGCAGTGCCTAGCTAGGCAGCAGTGCCTAGCTTGGCAGCAGTGCCTAGCTTGGCAGCAGTGCGTGGCTTGGCAGCAGTGTGTGGCTTGACAGCAGTTCGTGGCTTGGCAGCAGTGCGTGGCTTGGCAGCAGTGCCTAGCTTGGCAGCAGTGCCTAGCTTGGCAGCAGTGCCTAGCTTGGCAGCAGTGCCTAGCTTGGCAGCAATGCCTAGCTTGGCAGCAGTGCCTAGCTTGGCAGCAGTGCGTGGCTTGGCAGCGTGTGTGGCTTGGCAGCAGTGCGTGGCTTGGCAGCAGTGCGTGGCTTGGCAGCAGTGCGTGGCTTGGCGGCAGTGCGTGGCTTGGCAGCGGTGCGTGGCTTGGCAGCGTGCGTGGCTTGGCGGCAGTGCGTGGCTTGGCAGCAGTGCGTGGCTTGGCAGCAGTGCGTGGCTTGGCAGCGGTGCGTGGCTTGGCAGCAGTGCGTGGCTTGGTAGCAGTGCGTGGCTTGGCAGCGGAGCGGGGCTTGGCAGCAGTGCGTGGCTTGGTAGCAGTGCGTAGCTTGGCAGCAGAGCGGGGCTTGGCAGCAGTGCCTAGCTAGGCAGCAATGCCTAGCTTGGCAGCAGCGCCTAGCTTGGGAGCAGTGCGTGGCTTGGCAGCGGTGCGTGGCTTGGCAGCAGTGAATGGCCGTGCAGGTGCAGTGCGTGGCTTGGCAGCAGTGCGTGGCTTGGCACCAGTGCGTGGCTTGGCAGCGGTGCGTGGCTTGGCAGCAGTGCGTGGCTTGGCACCAGTGGGTGGCTTGGCAGCAGTGCGTGGCTTGGCAGCAGTGCGTGGCTTGGCAGCGGTGCGTGGCTTGGCAGCAGTGCGTGGCTTGGCAGCAGTGGGTGGCTTGGCAGCTGTGCGTGGCTTGGTAGCAGTGCGTAGCTTGGCAGCAGAGCGGGGCTTGGCAGCAGTGCCTAGCTAGGCAGCAGTGCCTAGCTTGGCAGCAGTGCCTAGCTAGGCAGCAGTGCCTAGCTAGGCAGCAGTGCCTAGCTTGGCAGCAGTGCCTAGCTTGGCAGCAGTGCATGGCATGGCAGCCGTGCATCTCGCTCAACCCTAAACTCTCCCATCTCATCATGTCCTAAGCTCCCCTCCCCATCTGTGTCCCGTCCACCCCAACCCCCTCCTATTCCCTCCCCACCCCCCTTCCTCGCTCCATATACCCCCCCCCATCCCCCACCCCCCCCCCCCCCCCCCCCCTCTACAAACCGTGATGCTGCAGGCCAAGTGCTACAACCTTGTAACGCGCATGTTCTGGCTCTGTGCTGCTGCAAAAATCCAGTTTTACCCCACGGTTAAAGAGATTCTGCGTTCATTCGGCGAGGACTTTGCGGCACACATCATCGAGTGCCTGAACCTGCTGTGGACAATGAACGACTCGACCACACGAGGCGTCTTCCACGACCAGATCTCCAACACACGTAGCACGATCGGGGGATCTTGCGCAAGATCGTGTTGACCGCGCTGGGGCTGCATCGGAACCAAAAGTACGCCAGCAGCCTGCCGAGGGAGCTCACCTGCCCAACCGCCTGGTACACCGATGAACAGCTCGTCCGAGACAACACGGATGGTCAGTCCTTACTTTCATGCCATTCTCACCGTTTTTTCATGCCATGGATCACATGCGCTGCCCCACACGCTAGCCGACCACTCCAACACCCCACCCCCCACCCCTCGAAACCCTCATGTCCTACTCCAAATTTCCGCCCACCTCCCCTCTGCTCCCCCCACGCCCTCGAATCCTGTCCCCCATCGTTGCCCTCTGCAGAGGTGTGGGGTCTGATCTGGCACGTCGATAAGCCGCGGATGTGGCCGTTCTCGACCCTGATCTTTGCTGTGGGGTTTCGCAGGGGATTCAAGCGGCGCCACGTCCAAATGAGCTGCTATAAGACCCGCCAGATCGCCTGGGGGCTGTACGCGGTGAGTGCACACTCGCCCTATCCCTAGCAATATCGCACGCCCAACAACCCTTCCATGTCTCCATCCTCCATAAACTCATCCCCCCCCTTCCTCCCCCTTCACCCCCCATCGTCATCTCCCCCACAACCCTCGTTTGCCTATCTCTCCTGTCCTTTGTCGCCCCCCGAAATTCACGGCCACAGTTGGAGGCCACACTGCACAACTACAAAACCGCCGAGGGAAAGCTGAGCCAAGACAGTGAAGACAATCGCCGGGGGTACGAGGCCATGGTGTTGCACTGCCGCAGGTGGGTGGAGCACGCCGTGGACAACCTTGGTGTGCCGTACGACGACGAGGCCGAGGTTTTCGAGTTCGGCAATGGGGTGCGCATTGATGCGTCCGACTACCCGAGCTCGTGGCACGCACCCTCGCCCGCATGAGGACGGGCGGCGCCCTTGCATGAGTGGCGGAGGCAGGTGGTGAGGCGTGGTGGAGGTGGGGCAGCTGGAGCAGAACGAGGGGGGGGGAGAAGCCAACAATGGCAGGCATGCGTGGCGGCAGCAGAATAGACTTGGGCAGCAGAAGCGGCGGAGGCCAGGGCAGCAGCGGCGGCAAAGGCCAGGGCAGCAGCAGCGGCAGAGGCATGGGCAGCAGTGGCGGCAAAGGCCAGGGCAGCAGCGGCGGCAGAGGCATGGGCAGCAGCGGCGGCAGAGGCCAGGGCAGCAGCGGCGGCAGAGGCATGGGCAGCAACGGCGGCAGAGGCATGGGCAGCAACGGCGGCAGAGGCATGGGCAGCAGCGGCGGCAGAGGCATGGCAGCAGCGGCGGCAGGGGCATGGGCAGCAGCGGCGGCAGAGGCATGGGCAGCAGCGCGGCAGAGGCATGGGCAGCAACGGCGGCAGAGGCATGGGCAGCGACGGCGGCAGAGGCATGGGCAGCAGCGGCGGCAGAGGCATGGGCAGCAGCGGCGGCAGAGGCATGGGCAGCAGCTGCGAGGCATGGGCAGCAGCAGCGGCAGAGGCATGGGCAGCAGCAACGACAGGCATGGGCAGCAGCAGCAGCAGAGGCATGTGCAGCAGCAGCATGAGAGTCATGGGCAGCAGCAGCATGAGAGTCATGGGCAGCAGCAGCATGAGAGTCATGGGCAGCAGCAGCATGAGAGTCATGGGCAGCAGCAGCATGAGAGTCATGGGCAGCAGCAGCATGAGAGTCATGGGCAGCAGCAGCATGAGAGTCATAGGCAGCAGCAGCATGAGAGTAATGGGCAGCAGTAGCATGAGAGTAATGGGCAGCAGCAGCATGAGAGTAATGGGCAGCAGCAGCATGAGAGTAATGGGCAGCAGCAGCATGAGAGTAATGGGCAGCATGATAGTCATGGGCAGCAGTAGCATGGGGAGCAGAAGGGGCTATGGCAAGGGATAAAGGGAGGATGAATGGAGGCACGGAATGGCCCAGGGATGGAAGCACATGCATGAGGATTGGACAAGTGCTGGAGTGAGGAGCATACTAAGGGATGATGGGTGGAAGCAGATGGTAGTGGCAGATGCATGGGAAAAGGGGCGCAGCAGAGGCATGGGTAGAGGGGAGCCTGAAAAATCATGGGAAGAGGAGCAGGGAAAACAAGGGAGGACGGGAGCAGGAGGGGCAGAAGGATGTAGCAAATGTGAGGGATGGATAATGTGGCATGTGTAGAGACGCCAGGAGGCAGCTAGGGCGGCAGGAGGTGCTAGGGCAGCATGAGGCAGCTAGGGCAGCATGAGGCAGTTGGGGCAGCATGAGACAGCTAGGGCAGCATGAGGCAGCTAGGTCAGCTTGAGACAGCTAGCAAGGGGAGGGAAGGGGGGGAAGCAGCAAGAGGAAGGTCGGGCAGGGGGGAGGGAGCTAGGGCAGCAGAAGCAGCTGGTGGCAGCATAAGCGCTAGGGCAGTAGTTGCAGCTGGGACAGCAGAAGCAGCAGGACAGCAAAAGTGGCTGGGGCAGGAGAAGCAGCTAGATTAGAAGTATATAGGGGCAGGAAAAATCAGCAAGGGGATCTAATATGTGACACCAGGCAATATTAGCGGTGGTAGTAGCAGGATCGGTGAAGGTGGCTGTATAGGTGTTTTAGGTGTGATTATGTAGGATTGTAACCAGGTTTTTTTAGTGCATTTATTAACAATTTAATATTCACATTTCGTGATTATATCATTGTAGCCAACAGCTAACTACATGGTACCGACCTAAACCGGCATTTACTGTTGCACATTGCCACGTCAGCTGCCAAATGTCGGTGGTCTCAATTAGGTGGCAACGAAGAAAGAGTGTTTCTAGTGTTTGAGTTATTTCAATTAAATAATGAACTAATCACACTCGAAACACTCACGCGCAACACTCTTTGGCGTCACACATTTTTCAGCCCGAAACAGTTACGAACCTTGGCGGAATACGCGTCGCGATTTTCGGCCCGAAGCTCGACACAGCCCCATGCGGGATGCAGTTGCCTCACTATTCCGAAAACAGCCCGAAACTCGGAATGCTTTTCCGCCAAGTTTCGGCCACTTCGGCTGACCTCAGCCCAAATTTCGGCGAGGTTAGGTGGGGATGTTTTGTGATGCAGTGCTGAACTGATTCGCCTCATCATGGCGAGGCTGTGAGGCTACAACTCCGCTACAGCGGCCGAGCTCTGCCCCAGTCCTGTACGCTGACAACAGGGCCATGATCCTCCTGTGTCAGGAGCCTCGACTCGAGGGCAGAGCGAAGCACATCCAGCTGCGGTACTTCCTCCTGCGCGAGCTACAGCAGCGTCGCCAGGCTCGCGTAGTACACTTGGCCTCTGGTGCCAACACAGCTGATATCTTTACGAAGGCGCTTGCGCCTAAAGATCATCAGCGGCACTGTGTACAGCTTGGTCTGGTTCCTGTAGTCTCTCACTTACTCGGGCCTTGACGTTGTACTGTCCTATATATATTTGTACACTCAGACTGGACTTGTGTCCTCTCACAGTGGTTGGACTAGTAGTGCCGCCCTGTACTTGTTCTTGCCTTGTCTGTACTCCTTCTGACTGGTCTTTTAGACCCTTGTCTCAGAGGCTGGACTAGTAGTGCCACCCTGAGCTGCTTGCTTAGGAATTTCCCCTATGCAGTCTAGGGGTGTGTCAAACATGTGTATTTGTTGTGTTTGTATAGACTGTATAGGGTCACCTCCTAGAGGGTACAACACTTAGGTATATTTGTGTGTACTATCTCTCTCTCACTATTCAATTTTCAATTCTGATAGACAGCAGCTGCGGCTGGAATGAGGGGTGGTGTAGAGGAGAGAGCGTGGCTTCAGCAAGGCACCGCGGTTGATGCTGACGCTGGCTGGCGTGTGGGCGGCGGCAGCGTTACAGCGTATTGGGAAGTAAGGCTTCCTAGATATTTTGACAGGGTTTATTTCGTGCATGGATAGTGGCCAATAAAACAGTGTCATTTTTGCCCTTCTGCAAACTTCATAGCACGGTTAGAAATGGCATGCTCTTTTTTTACACCAGAACTCGTCGACGTCGTATTTGAGACCGAAAGGATGAGTGAATGGAAAGGGAAGGGACGCGCAGGTACCTGCTTGAGATCCCCACCAATCTCATATGTATGCAATTGTCAGAGCATCACACCACTTGTCTCCCTTTATTAGTGTAGGTCATCCCATCAATTATGACGTGCATCGCACATGCGCAAATTCGCGTAGATCCGTTTTCTGATGTAGCTAACATATTGATTCAAAACACCCAATGATAGAAATTGACCATTTAATATTTTTTGTGATTCAATTAACGAGAGGAATGTTCCTTTATGCATTTTTTCCACCTTGCCATATGTGTCACATGATACATTTTTACAAGAACGCATGCTACAATAATTCGTATACCAAACTCATCAAGTTCTGGTGTAGCCGACATCCTTTATCACGCTAACGTAAATGATGCTCGGAAGGTGAGAGAATCGAGCCCTTGAAAATTTCAGCCAGAGTTCGGGCGGGAAATGATTGTGGCGAATGTTCGAGGGGTGTCGGGATGTAACTTCGCCCTCGCCATTTCGCCCGCGGAAATAATTGGACAGTTTTCGCCCTAAAATGCCCAACCACAAATTTCCGACGCATTTCGGCCAGAACCGAGGCGCGGTTTGGCCAGGAACGTTTCCGACGGAACCCCAACCATGACGCAACCAAAAAAACACTTCGGCAAGCCTGTCGACGCGGAAACAAAAATCCAGGTTTTTCGTCCAGTGGACGCAAAATCGAATTCAGCCAAATGCTGTCATGAGCGACTCGAGCTGAGAAGAAAAGACGGGAAATCAACGAGCTTTGCGAAGGCACGAAAAATGTTTGGCGATCCTGGGCGAAAATTGCCAGGCGAAAACAAACAAAACCTCCACCTCAGTTCGCGTCAAGAGAAGGTTGACGGGTGAAATCGAAATAACAAAGCAGCATGCTACCACGAAACAAACAAACTAAAGTTACATTCTGGACGGAAATGAAGGTGAGGAAGTTCCAAGGTTGTTATGATTCAAGCATAATAGTAATGCGTAGTGCGATAAATAGGCTTGATACATGAATGTCAATACAAATGAAAGGCTAGGGAATTCATGCGAACAACAGAGCTAGCCGAGAACCACGCGAACGGGGTGGGGCGGTTCGATGGCGAATGCTACGGAACAGCCCACGGTCGAGGTTGCCAAGCCTAGCCTTCCGAGAGTCAAGGGCTTATGCACTATAGTTGAGCCCAGTAAGGAAAAGGATCTTCAATTGAGAATCTTGGCCGGCATTGTTGTCGGCTCGGGTACATAGTTGACCGTTGGATTTAAACGTTGACAGTCGAGATCGGTCGAGTTCGTAACGGACAATCGTATGAGAATGATGTGGAATGAATATTGAATATGGTAGTTGTTGGGAACATGCAGCTGAGCGGTGATGGGTTTCACCATTCCAACTATAAGGAAGTTTGGTCGAAGTTTATTTGGGAGTAGTAATCCCAAATTCCTCATCGAGCAGGACCAGTTGCCCACGTACCGTATATCATAACTCAATCATTCTGGAAACCCAATGCACCACAAAGTCACCTAGATGAAATCGGGGATGACGTCGCATGGTTGGGGTCGCGATCAGCGGCTCGTCTGAATTGACCACCTCTGATTCGGTGCGACAACTTTGTTTTCGCAAGTTGCTGCCTTAGCGTGTCGCATGTTGTCGATGTGACAATGAGTGCGTCAAGAGGACGTCAAATTCGGACTCCTGTCTGGCAGGCTCGTATGTTCCAGAATGAACCAAGTGATTTTAACGGGACGCACCCTTTTGTGAGC